TCTTGCTGCTACCAACGGTTATAAGGAAAAAACCAGTACCAAAAACCAACGTTTACAGTTAAGAATTACGTCCGACAAATTAAATGCGTTAATCAAGTCCCAAGGTTATTGATTTCTTGGTTTTGGATTTTCTCGTGAAAAGTTATCGGCAATCAAAATTATTTCCCATTAATTGCTTTATTCGTAAACAACTTTTAATGTAAACTTATTGGTGTCAGTTTGAAAAAAAAACAACCTTATAAAAACAACTGTTTGTTATTTAATAGATTACGCAGGCCTATTCTCTAAACAATGATTGGTATATCTTTTAACATTAGAATGAAATGTGACAAAAATTACGCAATGCTGGGTTTTTGGACGTTTGTAATTTTATTTCTTAAGTAGGTAGGCCGTGTATTCTAGGGAAAAGTTCCGGTATCAAGGATCGTCGTCGAAAAGGTTGTTATGAATAATTGGGTAGGCGTAGGTGTACCCAAGAGATGGGCTATGGGCCTATTGGCTGTATGGTCCAGCGATTGCATCATACGGTGAACTGTAAGTGAGTAGGAACAGAAAGTGGCACATTGGAAAAGCGAGTTTAGCATCATCCAACAACCGTAAACCTCTGTTACAATCACCCACTGCAGTTGTGATTTTTTACTTTACACTTTACACAACCACCATTGAAGCGCCGTCAATGAGTTAGTAAGCTATTGGCGACGATCATTAATACATTCAAGTTTCCCAGCCCTATACAACACTGATTCAAGGTTATCAAAACTCAAGAACAATTTTATACACAAAGAATCTCTGGTTCCTAACCTGGATGATGTTATTAAATTTTATTTATGGTTACACTATATTATTCCACTTGCGATTAATTAAATCCGTTATGTAAGACATAACGATTTTAATCTCACTTGGATGGGCTATGCCTTCAAAAAGTGATCGGAAATGGTTGTGGTATTTGTAAGCATATCAGTGACAGCGAGAAAAAATAATCTTGATCCGAACAGCTGTTCGTTATTTATTTCATAGATCATTATGTGATAAACATTGGACGAAAACTTGACAAAAATCGCACAAAACTGCATTTTTTAACGTCCGTAATGTTATTTACTAAGTAGTAAGGCCATATTTTAATGGCTAAAGACACTCTCGCCAATCCAGTGAATACATTAAAATGACTTGGATCTTGATAGGTACTCTCGTTTTCCTGGAGAAGATTGCGTAAAATGCCATCTTGAGTGTTACAAAAAGATATACAGACAGACAGACAGAAATTTAGGTGAGACTTGTTTCGGCTTCTTTAATGTATAAAACGTAAAAATAACCTACAAATGAATGATTCTGAGCAATGTACAGACAAAACTCTAATTTCATTTATATAGATTCTCATTGGTTGCAATTTAATAAATGGTGTAGCAAAACACAAACACAAAATTTATTGAAATGAAATTAAGTCAATGTTAAGTGAATCATATTTGCGACATAAATACATTTAATTGAAGCCTAAAAACAGTTTGAAAAAGGCATTCTATTCTTTATACTAGTAAAAATTAAAATGAGGGTATAAAAAATAGTTTTCAAAGTTCATGTTGATCAATGTACAATCATCTAGTCTTGAAAAAATAAGTATTTAAAAGCTTGCTCCAAACATAATGAAGTTGATCGGCTGTTAACAAAATGTCATCATTTTTCAAACCATGTAGGCCTAAACCTTATAGTTTTCCAACTGTTGCCTTTTTTATTTTTTATTTTTATGTTTTTTTTTACTTTATGATGTTTCAATTAATGGTACAAATATTCATAGTATATATATTTCTGAACAAGAACATATAACCATGTATATATAACTAATAAACGTTCCATAAGCATTTTACACGAGAGAACACTATTCGGCAAGTCATCATGGAGGAGCTTGGACGTCGTGCAACAGCGCTGAGCTATATTGGACGTCGTGCAACAGTCAAATATTTATTGGACGTCGTGGCACTTGGACGTCGTGCAACTGGCAGCGACTTTGGACGTCGTGCAACACTCCCGCAAATGTTACTTTTTACAATTCTATAGTGCGCTGTTTCACGACGTCCAAGTGCCACGACGTCCAAAGCTTGTAGAAAGACTATATTTTTGGCAGTTACTGTACTTTTGGACGTCGTGGCACTTGGACGTCGTGCAACAACTCAAAAATTATGTTTTGGACGTCGTGGCACTGAATAAATATTATTGGACGTCGTGGCACTTGGACGTCGTGCAATGCATCCGCCGGGCATATGCACTTCAACCGGTAATAATTTTTACGCCACACTACATTATTTTGACGAACTTCCCACGCAAGGATTTAGTCCAGAAAACAGCTGTTTGCTGCCAGCTTATTCAAATGGGGTTTCATTGCGTACTACTGTACTGCAATGAGTTTTACCGGACACCAATCAGCTGATTATACTGTATTTAGGTGGCACTGAATTGTTATACACAAAAACATAACCTCTCTTATAGAGGTTATGACTAGTGATTTTTAGCCCTTTAGTTGGTGAAAAAATATTAGGATTTGTACAGATTTAGTAGTATGGCGTAAACTATCGTACGTAACTCGTCCAAAATGTGTGTACCGGACTCGTATGGTAATCCCGACCACACTCGTCCGGTAAACACTTATTTTCAGGACTAGTAACGTAATATACTTTTACCGCCGAATTTAGTTCCAGGTCCACAGTAATGATAGCCGGGCATATGCACTTCAACCGGTGATAATGTTTACCGCCGAATTTAGTTCCAGGTCCACAGTAATGATAGCCGGCCATATGCACTTCAATCAGCAATAATTTTTACCACCGAATTTAGTTCCAAGTCCACAGTCATGATAGCTGGGCATATGCACTTCCACCGGTAATATTTTTTACCGCCAAATTTTGTTCCTGGTCCACAGTAATGATAGGCGGTCATATGCATCTTCCACCAGTAATAATTTTTACCACCGAATTTTGTTCCAGGTCCACAGTATTGATAGCTGGGCAAGTGCACTTCCACCGGTAATAATGTTGACCAAACCGGTAATAATAACCAGTAGTAATGTTTACACGGGTAATAATTTTTACCATCGTGTTATCTGGTTAATCGGTCTTGTACATAGATACAGACAGCTTTGTGTTAGTAATAAAATCGGGAAAACATCGATTCTGTATGCCTGGATCATCCCTTGCATATCTCTCTTTGTTATTCGTTCCAGGTCCACAGTGCTGATATCCGGGTATGTGAAACTCTACGGGTAAAGTACCCTTTGTCTGTGTCCAAGAAGATTATCTGTGTCCATACAGGGTGAATAAAAAAGTCAAGACCCCCCCCCCTCTAATATTTCTCTAAGTTAGAACACAGTACAGTCTTCTTGTACACAGACACAGGGTATTTTACCTGTAGAGCTTCACATACCCGTCTATCAGTACTGTGGACCTGGTATGAATTTAAGGAAGAGATTAACAAGAGGTGATTCACGCATAAATAAATTGGATGCTGCATGCAAAAACCACGATATAGCATAATCAAGATCGAACTATAGTAAAATATACACAGATACCCTTTTGGTGGTCGTGCAAACTTAGGATAAAGTTTCATTTTATGATTTTGAAAAATGAGGGATTATGAGCTCAACTGGAGATTACTCTGTATATAATATGTATTAATCTTTAAACATTACCAATGTAATTTTAAACAGTATGATTTAAATTGGCATTCTGTTAGTTACGTTTTTTTTACCCGCCCTTATGACAGTGTGTATCTGGATCCGGATCCGAATTTTTCAAGATCCGGATCCGGATCCGGTACCGACATTTTCTTGGATCCGCCCATCACTAATTATTATCAATTGCATTGGGTAGAATAAGGCAGAAGCTACTCAGGTTTGCCCCATTTTACGTAATATTTCAGCTATTTCTCATTCAATCATTTTTAACTTGGTATTGTTTGATAGATGAATAAAAATGCTAAATAAAAGTGTTCTTGAAATTTTTTCATGAAACCATCCATTTTAGAGTAATTTAAGTTTAAAAACTTTAAATGGCCGCCATTTTTAAAATTTTAGGTTGAATCGAGATGAACTTTTTTTCTAATACGGGTCTCTTCTACCTTTACATACATACCAAGTTTCATAAAGATCGGTCAAAAATATTAAAAGATAAAAATGTTTATGTAAAAAATACGAAATGGCGGATATCTGGTTAACAAAAAATGTTATTCTTGATTTTCTCTTTATTTTGACCCAAGGAATTAATAGGTAAAATATGTCCCCACCTTTTTTGAACACCCTGTATATGTGTCCGTTAGCATGATGACTCGAGCAAAAATTATCCGATTTTGATGAAATTTGGTATAAACGTGTAAACCTACATTTATTAAAACGAGATGTGGGGTTTTATGGGGTGAAAATGGGTTTTTCTAATTTGTTCACTCAATTTCAATTGCAATTTCTTTTCAAACCATTTTGTAGAGCTCAAAAAAACAAATAATTTAGTTTATTGAAGAATTGTTTTATGCCTAACGGTTACGGAAAAAATCCCAAAATAGTGTAAATTTAAAATTACTATGTTATTCTTATGGAGAATAAATAAACGGTTGTTCATGTTGTAGCTTGCTTGTCTATGGACATATTTTAATAATATTTTGAAATTTTTTTTAAATTTTTTGTTTACTTCATACTAAGCTATCAATATTTCAATAAAAAAACCCCTATTTTCTTCCTTGTAGCAGCAAACCTAAGTACTCATTAAAATTAATGATATTTAAATAGAAAATAAATCTGACAATTTTAAGGGAATAATTTAGTGGAATTCCAGCCAGGTAGATGGAAATTCGCCTAATCTGCATGTGGCGGGGGTATTTTTTTTTATAACCTCGTCTTGAAAAAATCTTGATGAAAATAAAATCTTGTCTCGTCGAACAAGATTAAAATTCCCAAAAATTTCGAGACCTGTCCATTCCTAATTAAAACTCGTTTTAGCTATATCACCAAGTTGCATATTTACCATGGAGTTGTTGGAGCCAACACTATTGACAAAGTGGGAAGCTGTGGCTTGACAGGGAATGCAGCTATCTCTAGACTGTGAGAAGCCTGGACACACGCCAATCTTGGGGCAGATCTGTAACAGAAGTGCAGCTAGATATAGTGGCTGTGCAAGTAGTGGCAAATATCTGTTAAACGGTATGCAACCGTAACAACAAACATCATGTTGAAGTGTTTTTTTTGTTTTATGTAAACAGAATCATTCTAACCTATGAGGTGATAAAAGTGCCACATAGTTGATATCAAACAAAATAGTGCTCAATTAATTGGATGTCAGTAATTAGCTCTCACCTGTGAAGGGTCAATGTCTTGAGCTAGAAGGGCAATGACTGCTTTGGCATAAGCATCGACAAAGCTACGACAGCCCGGGGCAAACTGATCTGGTAGTTTGTTGCATGCCAGTTCCGCATCCTTTATGATGGTCTAAAACATTACAGGTCTTAATTCCTTGGAGTATTAAGAAACATATAATAATTCTAAATACAAGCATCAACAAACTCAGAAAAGGACTTCAAGATTGCACTTGGTTTGACGGCACTTTATCACAATTTCTTGACAGTCTTGAGGATCTACTACAGTACCTACTATCGGCCAAACCAGGCTACAAGTTCGCATTGGCGGGTGACTTCAATGTTGACTTTGGTTCTGGGGACGCAGATCACTGTGAGTTGCAAAACTTGCTGCGCTCTTTCAATATGTATTGCTCAAATTTTGAACCCACTAGGGGCAGAAAATGCCTTGATAACATTGCTGTGAATTTCCCCAAAGACTTTTTCTCTGTCTGCATTGGCAACTTTTCTCTATCAGATCATTTGGTGGTATGTTTGAGTATGAATATTGCAATTCAGGTAGAACAAACTTGAAACCAAGCTGCAAAGAGAATTTATAGCCATTTTAATCAATCTAAATTCATCTATAATGTTAGCAGCATAGACTGGTCAGCTCCGGTGACACAGGACGTGCATGCAGGCGATGAAATGTTTTCAGCTATGTCAAATAGTGGTGGATAATTGCTTTCCCCTTAAGACAACTTCTAATAGAAATTATCAAAGTAAAGTCCCTGCTCGTGGATATCGATGGTTTACTGAGGAGCTACGCTTAGTGAGAGAGACAGTTTGGTGGCTTTTGATGCATACAAGATATCCAATACATGTGATAACGGAGAGGCCTATGTGAATCTCAAACGGACCTTTAAAAAGGCTCTTACTGTTTATTTATTTATTCTCCATAAGAATAACATGGTAATTTTAAATTTACACTTTTTTGGGATTTTTTCCGTAACCGTCAGGCATAAAACAATTCTTCAATAAACTAAATTATGGACCAAGACCCGAAACTTTGAGATTTTTTATCTCGAAGCATCGGGCGGAATTGAAATACTAACGGGATATTTTCGAGACGAGATTATAGGCCGTTAGCTAATCATCCAGGTACAAAACTAAAAACTAGAGGTGTGCAGATATCCGAAAAATCGGGTCGGATTCGGTTCGGAAACATACATGCCCTTGCCATGTAAGTTATTTGCATCAAGAGACTAACACTGATTAGCATCAAGAGACAAACACTGAGACATGGCCTTGCCATATAAGTTATTTGCATCAAAAGACAAACACTGAGACATGGCCTTGCCATACAAGTTATTTGCATCAAAAGACAAACACTGAGACATGGCTTTGCCATATAACTTATTTTTATCAAGAGACAAACACTGAGACATGGCTTTGCCATATAAGTTATTTGCAGCAAGAGACAAACACTGAGACATGGCCTTGCCATATAAGTTATTTGCATCAAAAGACAAACACTGAGACATGGCCTTGCCATACAAGTTATTTGCATCAAAAGACAAACACTGAGACATGGCTTTGCCATATAACTTATTTTTATCAAGAGACAAACACTGAGACATGGCCTTGCCATATAAGTTATTTGCATCAAGAGACAAACACTGAGACATGGCCTTCCCATATAAATTCTTTGCATCAAGATACAAACACTGAGACATGGCCTTGCCATATAAATTCTTTGCATCAAGAGACAAACACTCTGGAAAAAATCGGTCCTGTACATGGATACAGACAGCTTTGTGTTGGTAAAAAAATCGGTCTTGTACATGGATACAGACAGCTTTGTGTTAGTAAACAAATCGGGGAAAAATCAGTCTTGTACATGGATACAGACAGCTTTGTGTTAGTAAAAAAATCGGGGGAAAAATCGGATCCATCAAAACCGGATCCAGCCCGTTATTTGATGATGAATAAAGATTTGATTTGATTTGATTTCTTTTTGAGTTTGTCTGGAAACACTTGTTCTTTTTTCATTTCAGAATCAAAGGTAAAAAGCATTTTTGAAACATTTTTTGAAAAGATGAAAAGATAAAACACCCCAAGATAAAACACCCCCATCTTGCACACTAGGCCAATTTCCATTTGTCTAATTGGATTTTCGTCAAAATATTTTCTTCTAAATTTTAAATGTATTCCCTATTAAAAAACATTAGAGACACAAAGTAGGCACTTAGGTTTACTGCTACAGGGAAGGTAATTAAAAGTATGTGTTTGTTTGTGTTATAGCTTAGTATGAAATAAACCAATTTACTGAATTCGATCATAATATACCCATAAACAAGCAAACTACAACAGTTTACTTGATCTCCATAAGATTGAATAATATGGGAATTTTACATCACCATCGTTTCCCGCTACTACGGAAACGTTAGCAGTCATCCGCAATTGCAGCAAAAGCGTGAATTTTTCGATCGCATGTACTTAGCAAACATGTTTTTACGATCGTGATCGTAAAAGCTCGACTCAAGCTCAATTCTTTGACGATAAATCTGAGGTTTCATCAATGCTTTTACATTAAGTTTGGCGATCTCTCGAGCATGTAGACCAGGCTCCGCTTGCACACATCTAATATATATTTATTTCAACGGATGGTGTTTTTTGCCTCTAAGGACATCAAAAACTAAAATTAATGTAGGTCTCACCATGAAACCTAATGGTATAACTTATTCCTCACAAGGGAAATTCGGTAAAATCTTTATTTTGGTGCATAAACCCCCTTCTAACCATAGAGCAAATTTTATAGCCGATCTATGGCTCATAACTCCAAACAGATTAGAACCACAATATTTATTAAAAACTATCAGATTTAGCCAACTTTGGTATTTATTGCATTTCCAAATGACCCGAGTTATATTTACGAAGACTAGCAAGATAATTCCATGATTGCATATCTTTCACAAGCAAAATTTTAATTTGACTTTTATTTTTGTATGCGTGGTGTGTGGTACCTCTTCGTTGATGGGATCGGTGAGCTCGATCTGCAAGAAGTGAAGCAAGTACTCGCACATCTGACACATCTCCTTGTTGCGAGGTAGGACCACCAGGCTGTCTAGAGGCAGCTGGGCTGGAGCTGTGTTGACTGCCACATCAACCATAAATGTAACATTATCATTCAACAATTTATATACAAGGTTACTCTTAGCAGTAAAGTACAGTATAACTTGGTTATAACTATAACGTCATTTATAGGACCACACAAATATCAATGCTATATTAAAGTGACACTATAAAGGGCCATTAACCCTCCGAGTGTCATGCGTCGCTGCAGCGACTCACGAACACTGTTTACGGCGAAGGCTCTATGACTGACAAAATCGGATTGAACTGGATCGAGTTAGGTATCGTTCTTTTCATTAGATTCTAGGCTTTCTCCAGAGGTCTGTCTCTAAGCGCTTTATGTTCTCCGAGCCGATCGTAATTGTAGCAGACAGCTGACGTGCGTATTTGTAAACAGGTTAGTTAACCTCGGACCGATGACTGATGTGTTTTATTATGTTTATCATTGTTTTAGTGTTAAAAATCAAAAGTAGTGATATACGTGGTGCATTATAAGAAGAATTAACTGATTTTGAAGGGCTGGTTGATGATCCTGAAGAAGTAGGTAGTGATATTGATGTAAATTATCAGCCAGATTCCTAGCTATGGTTAGGCTATGCATTCTTAGCTAAACGCTATGTACTGAAATCTGTTTTTTGCCCATAACTTATTTATTTGCAAATCTACTTCCTTATATTATTATATATTTGTAATCCTCATAAAATTTAGAACAAAGTGGCTATTTTCAAATATTTATAGGCCTATAATTTATACAATTTCATTAAGCGCAAACTTATTTTTTTTTTCAATTTTTCCAAAATAATTTTTATTTTTACCTAAAAAATTTTTTTGAAACAAATATTCCTTAGGTTTTATGTATGATATTGAAGCCCATGATTTTCCAAACAAAATGGTATATAGAACAGTAGAATTAACATTGTTTTAAGCTTTTCAGATCCGTTTTAATAAAACCTTGCAAATGCGCCAAAAATAGGCGGACATTAAGGCCTAAACTATGGACACTCGGAGGGTTAAAAAAAGCTTATTGGTCTATACAAAGGAGAAATAATTATTTGGTTTGTTTATAAAATACAGGGTGTTTTTAAAAGAATGCTGGGATTTCAAACGGTCGTTGTTCGGGGGCTATTCAAGATAATTAAACAATTTAAACGTCAAATTGAAGGGAAAAGAATAAAGTTTTTTTCTCATTCTTCCATACAATTCGGAATGATTTAATAAAATTCAGATTTTCATCAATCTTATATGAGCCTAAAACTGGCAAAGTCTGTATGCTTTGGGCGATTGGCGGGTTTATCGGCACACAGACTCTATCTTTTATAGATAACATCATAAAGTGACCAATTTAGGTGTGTTAGGTGTGCTTTGAACAACAAAATCCACCCTAAACATGTGCATAAACTCAAAACCTATTTCCTTCAAAAATGGACCACTCCTGGGATGTTTATTGAACTGCGGCATTGCTTGAACCATTTTACCAGAGCTGTATCGATGCATGACGTCACGATAGAAGACGGCAATGACGTAATGTTTGCCGTTTGTGATCAGCTGCTTGTGTTAATCTTTCCTTGGAAAATATAGTGTTAGCAAAACGGGAGTGCCGATCGAGACCTGTGGGGGTGCGTGCATTTTAAGGGACTTGACCTGGTCTCCATCGGCACTCCCGTTTCGCTAACACTGTAAATAAATAAATAACTACGTCATTGCCGTCTTCTATCGTGACGTTATGCTTCACAAGCATTACGGCCTGTTATTTTAGTGTGGCCTTGATCGATATCACTGTGTTCACATCCCCTACTTGGGTTCCACATTTTCCCCATCTTCTTCAAATGCCTCCAAAATGTTGCACTTGTTCTTCAAAATCAATCCAACAGTGGAATTTACAAACCCGAACTCCCAACACACGTCTGGTTTTTTTTTCTTTTTTTTTTCTTCTAACGCTCTTAAAATACACACTTTTTCATTTATCAGCAAAAACTGTCTTTGGTCACTTGTTGCATGATTACCAAATATTTATTAATTTAAGTTTAAGAATGTAGTCACTGTTATAACCTGAGCATAAAAATTTTTGATACACATTAATACACAGAGCGTTATTGATTGATGAGAAACAAGGTGTAGTACCACTGCCCTAGATACAATGGTACTGTGACCACCTACTGAGATGTTTACATTCAAGATGGATTTGGGACAATGGCAGTGTAATGAGGGGTAGGGGGAAGGGGGGTTTGATGCAATGAGGGTGGAACGAGGGGGGGGGAAGAAGGCTTGTTGCTAAGAGCTGGGTTTTGTTGACGTTATATACAAGGTTTTGGAAGATAAATCTGAGGTTTCATCAATGCTTTTACATTAAGTTTGGCGATCTTAGGCACAAATTACATTTCATCCGAGCTGATGTTATGACTAAGGCTGTAATAACCAAATTGCACTGTATATCTAATGTTGCACTGAAATGTAGTGGCGATATTACTTTGGTAATCTATCGACCATAATAAGACTGGGACGGTAGCGTCGTCCTGTAATCCAGCTACTGGGAGGTCACGAATTGTGGATATTTAGGCATGCACTGTGGATGCGATGCACTATGGTGTGGATTAACGTCCGCACTAGTGAGTACTACGACTGTCAGCAGCACTATTCCTGATAATTAGACCAATTCGTTATTTACAAGGAAAAAATGTGGTTCAGATTCCACTACAAACCGTAGGCCCTTTAGTTGCCAATGGCTGTATGGGCTATTAATTAACAGCTGTGTCTAAGGAACATGTCGGTCTTAGTCAATAACAAGACTACAAGATTGCGCCACTCATCCTACACTCATTGTTCACTCATATTTGGGTTAAAATACTCACATAGTGGCGTCCGCATCTTAAATAATTGATATAATTGATTGAAAAAAGTATAATACCAATCAAAACTAAACTTACAAATACTAGCAGAAGACAGTGGGACTCTATGGAGACCTGAAGAGGAATCTTTATCCAAAGTGTTGGCTACATGAATTGGCAGCAATGGGTAAATAGGCTGAAACATACAGCAGTTAAAAATATGTAAAAATAACTTGTTGAAAAAAAATATTCTAAAAGTGTTGCTGTATCAACTCAGGCTCTGCTTTCGATTTTTAGAGTGTCTTAAGTGTTATGAAAATATTGTTATTGATATATTTTCATGGAAACAGGAAGAAAATTACAATGTATAGATGTTCTGTATGAATTTGGAGGCTACTTTAAATAAATTCGAACTGCTTAACATGTGTTGGATTAACTTAACATAACTTGCATATCACATTGTTTTTTTTATATGTATATTTATTTAGGTAAATTTAGTTTTGCTAAACCTATGCTTAAATTAAACCAAAGAATATCACCAATAACTAAATTGCATTTGATTTGTGTGTTCTAAAATCTGTTTTATATGTCTAACTATATTCAATTATCAAATGGTAATACAAAATACACTTATTTTATGTTAACATAGCTTTTAGTTAACATTTACTTTATTTGATAAATTTATTATTTGTGTTTTGCCACACCACTGATTAAATTAAACCAAAGAAAATATCATTAAACTAAGCAGTACACAGTGTTCTTTTGTTTCTAAGATCAATGAAATATCTGTTACTATGTTTACTTAATGGTAAGTGTGAAAATGTAAAGGCAATGGACGATGGAACTGATTAAAAGAACTGGTTTGTATATTAAGTTGTTTGTTGATATTTTTGTAAAATAGAATCAGAGATGCAATGAAACATATACTGTATTTGCTATAACATATTTTAGTCCTTGATGCTTTAATAATCATATCAGTTTTGTCTGCCGTCTTTAATGCTAAATTATTTGATTAAAATTTTTTATATTACAATAGATATAGTTTCCTAATATTTCACAAGACTATTGATAAGGCACAACAATATTTGTAAAGTTTATAACAGCTGACTTCGTTTAGCTAATGATTTATTGTGAGTGAAGAAACTGAAGATGGAAGGATTTGTGATTTAATATATGTTAATTTAAGTCAGCTGTAAATACTTAAATTTGACAGTTAGAAGAGCAGAGGTTAAGAGGTACAGGTTCTGCTCCCGAGATATTCAAAAAATATAAAACAATCATTTCAAAGTAAAGATAAAACATCTGATCACAGATAATAAGGTTTTGGGTTTTGGTTATGCATTAAGAGGCTATATAAAATAAATTTAACATATTTACACATTAAAGACTAAAAACTAGATAATAATTTATAAATAAAAATACTTTTTAAAAATGCCACGTTTTTAAACGCACTAAAAAGTATAAAATAATTTATAAAATGTTTAAGAGAATAAATACTTTTTAAGATTTTAAACGAAAAACGTGGGGCGCATGCTGATTTACAATTAACTTCACCTATTGAACTATTATGACCTATTGCATGCGCCCCACGTTTTTCGTTTAAAATCTTACAAGTATTTATTCTCTCAACATTTTATAAATTATTTTATACTTTTTAGTGCGTTTAAAAACGTGGCATTTTTAAAAAGTATTTTTATTTATAAATTATTATCTAGTTTTTAGTCTTTAATGTGTAAATATGTTAAATCTATTTTATATAGCCTCTTAATTAATACATAACAAAAACCTTATTATCTGTAATCAGATGTTTTATCTTTACTTTGAAATGATTGTTTTATATTTTTAGAATATCTCGGGAGCAGAACCTGTACCTCTTAACCTCTGTTCTTCTAACTGTCAAATTTAAGTATTTACAGCTGACTTAAATTAAATTATAAGTTTACATTATTTGAAAATGTAAACATGGGAAATTTGGAAGCCAAAGGGGCGTAGCCCAAGGGAAATATGAAAATTAAATGATATAATATTGCATTGTCATCCATTTGTGAGCTATGTTTCAAGTTTCAAGTCTCTAGCTCATCGGGAACTTCGTTTAAAATTGATATCAAAATTTGTATGAAAGCGAGCTAATAAAAACAAGCCCATGGGGCGTAGTCCAAGGGAAATATGAAAATTAAATGATATAATATTGCATTGTCATCCATTTATGAGCTACGTTTCAAATTTCAAGTCTCTAGCTCATCGGGAAGTATCAAAATTTGCAAGAACGCGATTTAACAAAAACAAGCCCATGTGGCGTACCCCAAGGGAAATATCAAAATTAAATGATATAATATTGCATTGTCTTCTATTTGTGAGCTATGTTTCAAGTTTCAAGTCTCTAGCTCGTCGGGAAGTTAGTATAAAATTGATTTCAAAATTTGTACCGGACAAGAAAGCAAGCTAATAAAATCGTTTTAAAATATTAATAGCTTAGTATTAAATAAATAGATTGGGCAAGTTTGATCCAAATATATGCATAAACAAGCAAACTACAACAGTTTACTTATTCTCCGTAAGAATAACATGGGAATTTTTAATTTACAATTTTCTCCGTAACCAATAACCATACAAAAACACTTCAATATAGGTACTGAATTATTTGTTTTTTAAGCTCTTCAAAATGGTTTAGAGGAAATTTGGGAAATCTTATGTTTTGAAGGTCAAAAATGAGAAAAACCAATTTTTACCCCATAAATCCCCCCATAAAACCCCGTTCCCATGGTCTGATCATGCTGGTTCGCGAACTCGTTCAAATAAACGTAGGTTTACACGTTTGTACCAAATTTCATCGAAATCGGATCATTTTTGCTCGAGTTATCGTGCTAACGGACACACATATATATATATATATATATATATATATGAATTTGAACGGATGGTGTTTTTGGCTTCTAGGGACATCAAAATGAAAAAGTAAATCGGTCCCGGGACTAAGTCTTTCCATGAGACCTACGGTAATAGCTTATTCCCTATAGGGAAATTCGCTAAAAATGTTAATAAACTTCAAATCAAATCAAATCTTTATTGCCAGAACATTTTACAATGCATAGCAGTGTCAACTAGTTATTGAATGAACGAAGTGAATTCTCATACTGGTGTGAAATGCATCTTTATGTTGATCGAAATCTCGAGAATGACTAAAGTTATAAACTTGATGTGTTGCACAAAGATTCTATACCACTTTATCTTGCGACCATTAGTTGTTCAAAAATATTTGTTCCGTAATTATTATAAAATCTTAAAAAAACATTTTAAATTTTGTCCCATAAGATTAACATTATGAGCTACCTTCTTCTTCTTTTTATTTGTTTACATTTTACGACCTACAATTTTGTCGTTTACTTGAGACAAAGAGAACGACTACTCTTTCATCCATAGAGTAACAGTCATACCGTATTCACATTATAACTCTACAATTTCTAGGATAATAATGTATTTACGAAAATACTGGCAGGAGTTAACAAATTATCTACTAAAATGTATCGCAATTGATTGAAAAATAAATATTTACATGTTTATTCTACAGGCTACGTTTCTTCAGTAGGCTGTGCTATATAATAAGTACGACGCGACGGTAAACGATGCCGTGGGTTAAAGTGTTTCCTAACTTGCTAAAAGTTAAGTGTTATCTTTGACTAATTAATATTAGATAAGATTTAACTATCTAATAATCAATGGTTTTAGTTATTTTCGTTCTGGTTGTTCTTAACTAATTTCAGTAAGGCCTCGCGTCGGTGGCTTTATCTATTCAGTCAGTCATTCAAATGTTGCCCCAAAATATTTAGATAAGTTACTGTACTTTCATATTACTGTATAATGATATAACCAAACATAAGTACTAAGACTTTTTTTATCAAATAAGGTTTTTTTCATTTAACATATCTTTTTTCATCGGTCGTCTGCAGTTCACTCGCTAACTAAGACAGAATCAGAAATGCTGCCTTAAGTTAAGTTAAGTCTTAGAACATACTCCTCAAGGTTTAGTGCATTCTGCTATTGATAATAAGACGGCAACCTACGCAGGTTTTAAAAGTTTGTGAATAAAATCCTATCCATTTAAATTACGTAGGTAAGTAATGCATACAAACTGCATTTTAGATCCAACTCAAACCTCATCCATTAAGTTAAGGTTAAGGTTAACCTAGAACAAGTAGACTCAGTTCTGATGAAGAGCGGATGAAACTCAGCCAATGGACACAAGAATAGGCAATAGGAAAGAGCTTTCCCGAATTTGGTCTGAATAAGTGACAAATTTTAGTGAGTTTATAATATTGAACTCTCAGTCGACTATGTGCCAACTGAGCTTATGGACCCTTCATCAAGTATTGAACACTAAATAACTTACTGTAGGTCAATAAGTGGGAACCTACTGATTCAAAGAGCTAGCCCACTTATAACAATGCTGCTAAGGGCCCATAACAAAAGGACTACGCTTAGATAACCAAGAAGTGAAGATCAAGACGTACGGTACGAGCAGACGCGTAACATTGGGCTCACAGGTCTTCATCGATTGTACCAAGGCAGTGGAAGAATGGTGAGACAGACAATCATAATGCTGAGGTAGATAATCTTAACTTCAAAATATAGCCTAAACAGTATAAACTTTTGAAGGAAGGCGGTGAAGCGAGGAAGTGCTGTGTCATGTAAAGTTGTTTTGTGTAAAGTGTGTCTGTTGACATTAATTGCCTAGACGGCCGTGTTGCCTAGCCTAGGTATGGCCTGTCAAGTGTTTTGTTAAAATCTGTGTCTAATGATGTCACAGCACTATGTTTATTTGTTCATACAACAATCTGTGTTTAATATGTTTTTCACCGTCAAAGAATGTAGGCCTACGGTAGAAAGTTTAAACTAAGAAAGGTAGGCCTTAATATAACCCTAACTTACCTAAATAGACCTAAAAAAGTAATATAGCCTATAACTTTCTTTCAGCTACTAAGTTAGATCTGTGTCCTTATGTAGGCCTACTTAGATTAAGTTACCCATATTCAGGGGAACAGTTTCGCAGAGAACCTAGCCTACGATAATTTATCAGATGAAATATTTTTGTTTAACTTAATATACCCTATGCGATAACTTATCGTAATCGGTTCACTTTTAGGCGATACAACTTACCGTACCTATTTATCATGTAGGCCAAGGCCTATTTCAATATTG